CATGGAATATCTGCTCAACGTTTTGTAATATAAGGATATCAGTTCAGGTTTTGTATGCAATGGGATTAAGTATGTATAATGTAAATAATAATATTTTTATAACTTATTTACGTATACTCAGTGTTATTTTAGCCGAATAATAGTGTATAATTTATTTTATTTAATATTGTCTTTCGAAGTAATGTTTTGTTTGTAAAATTAAATTATAATATTATTGCTTGCAACGTAAAATTTATGTAATTTTGAATGGCTTTCACAATGTTAATAATAAGGATTAATAGGTTGTAGAATAAAAAATATTTAATAGTTTGTTGTATTATAAAATAACATTTTTAATGTTAATTTGTTTGCTACTATTAAAGAATTGTAGTGCAATTACAACTTCAGTATTAATACATGATTCACTATCATTAACAGGTATATTTGCCAACATTAACACTGTTTAGAGATTTATTATAGCAATTAGTGTCTAAATTATTGTTTGTATTAATGAATATATTTGTCATTCAATTAATTATTCCTTGATAATGAAGAAAACTATCAATCAGATACTGTATATACATTGATTAATTGTTTGATTTAATCTATTGATAAAACACAATTGATAATATAAATCATTAAAATTACTTTCAGTAAACTAAATAAACAAGTCTTTAATGAACAGATTTAACTTTTGAGTGCTATGTTTGTATAAATACTTCAAAAGGAATATATTATGAGAATCAATGACTTTTATAATATAAATTTTATTGTATAATAAAACATATTCATTGTGTATAAAAGAAATTAATGACAATGAATAATAGATTTGAATACAACAAAATTGTTATTATTATGGAATTTTTAATATTTACTTAACTTTAGTCTCATTTAAATTGTTTTAAACTTTTCATAAAACTTTTCATCCAATTGTCTGATTCTGTGTGAAAAATCTTTTGATCTAAGAATTCATTGAATGTTAAACTTGATGTCAATCATCGACTTTCACTTTCCTTATATCCCTTTCATGATTGAGAATTGTTTTTATTACTAATAAATTGCATATCGTTTGTCTTGATAGCTTTGGTTATCATAATACTGTATACCTTTTCAATAGCACACAAAAGTGCATTGAAATGGTTATGAATTTCAGAAACATAAGTAAAATGAGTTCTTTGTGTTAGGAGTAATAAAAAATTAATTTTAATAGTTTACGAGTTAAGCAAATACTATTTTGTCTTATAATGGAAAGATATGTAAAATATGATAGACAATAATAAAGCATATGTCCAAAGTTATTATAATTAAATAATTCAATTTAATTTCTTAAGCTTGAAACTATAATTACATTAAAGTAGAAATGTAATTTATATCACAATTTTATATTGACTGTATGTTCAAAAAAAACTGTTCAATTATCATGAAATCCATTAATCCTCAATATGAATGTTGGAAACCTTATCAAATTTAAACTTAAACCATAATAAATAATTATTGTCGATAATATTAAATTGAATTATGTCTCATACTAATATTATCTTTCAAACTAATGTTTATGTTTCTCGTATCAAACAATAATATGTTAGTAATATTATTACATATGAATTACAGAGTACTAGAGTGTCATACCTGACATCCGGCCTCGACATCAGCGTAGTAGCCATAAGCCCTGTTAAGGCACTGAAAGTTAGTCTCCGGTATCTGAGGGGTGGGTTCGGGAGATCCGGCGCCGCTGTCATAGTCTGTATCAATGCGTTGCTGAGTCTTCGTTGGCGGCGGACTATACGCGGGCTTTGAATAGCTTTTAGTGGACGCACGAGTTTTGGTGGGCTGTGAGTAGCAATCGGGGTATTGCCCGCACAGGACGCCACTCTCCATAGATTCTAATTATTTACAATTCAATAGACATCCGTATAATACTTATAGTATTGTATAAATCAATAATTTTTAAAAAGATTCAGTTTAATGTGTACATAGGTTTCTGAATAATTAAAAAAAGGGTGATTATATATACTTGGTCATGGGGAACTGGTAGTGGGCGCTGCTGTGTTTTATGACACATTTCTAATTGTATGCACTTCTAAACTAAACTATACTTTATTTATAATATTATAGCGATTATAAATATCTTATTATTAAAACTAAATATTAAAATAGTCAGATATGTATAAACAAAAATCATCATCAAATATATTCTTTATATACACATTGACTTTATTGGCAACAAAACTATTGATTCAATTTATACTCATTTATAAATATTTTATCATTTATTGCTTTTAAAATGATTATTTGTCTCAAATTATTTTAATATCTATCACATGTTTATAAGTTATGTTTGTATTTTATGTAACTGTTATAATTTTTAAATTTTGTTTTAAATATTAAATATTAAAATTTAATACCAAATCATTTGACTTGATTATATAAACTATAGTTTACTTTATATATTTTAATTACGATATCATATAATAGAGATCTATGAAATGTTTCATTAAAAGAATTAACAAATAACACAATTTATTTTAATCGACAATTCATTAAATTTACATTTAAATATATAAAGAAATTACAATGCTTAATTAATTTGCCTAAAAATTAAAAATATATATACATATATGACATACGGGAGAGAGAGAGAGAGAGAGAGAGAAAGAAAGAAAGAGAGAGAGAGAGAGAATTGCATGATACAACTATAACAATAATTTAAAAATAGTTTACAAACAAAACGAAATATTTACAAAACAATAGTTAAATTAGTTAAATACTAACAACAAATGAGACATAATAACAAATTGAGCACAAAATAATTGGCAGATTTATGGCGAAAAACCAGTGACCACTTGACTCTTACCGGTAGGGCTCGTCATCCTTGATCTGTTCGAACTGTTCCTCTTGTTGTTCATACCGTTCTTCTCGAGGCGGTTGTGGTTGTGGTGCCACCGGTTTAGGTGGTCTCTGGCGTTGGACAGGCTTTTGAGCGGTTTTCGGAGGTTGTTTGGGCGGTGGCTGTGCGGCCTGTGGTTCATCACAACCGCCAATCCGTTGACAATCGGAAATATCCTCTTCTGGCTCTTGTGGTGACTCTTCTTTCTGTTGTGGCTCTTCGGGCTGTTGTCTCGGTTTCTGTGGCTCTTGTGGTCTGGGTTTAGGTTTGGCAGCGATTGGCTTCTGTTGGGGCTGTTCTTCAGGCTCTTCTGGAGACACTTCTTCTTCCTGTTGTGGTTCCTGTATCTCTGGCTCCTGAGGTTGGGGTTTTGGTTGCCTTGGCTTAGGTTTGGGAGCTATTGGCTGCTGTCGGGGCGGTTGCGGCTCTTCTAGGATCTCATCATCAGTTTGCTGTTGAGGTTCTTCAGGCTCTTGTGCTTCTGGTTCTTGTGGTGCGGGTCTTGGCTTAGGTTTTATCTGTGGTCTGGACTGCGGTCGCTGTCGCGGTGGTGGTGGAGGAACTCCTGCCTCTTCGGGTACTTCGTCTGTCTGTTGTTGTGGTTCTTCCGGTTCTTCTGGTTCTTGAGGCTCTGGTTCCTGAGGAGTAGGTTTTGGTTTGGGTTGAGGTCTGGGTTGAGGTTTGGGTTGAGGTTTTGGTTGAGGTTTGGGCGCTCTTGGCTTCTGTTTGGGTGGTTCCGGTGGTGACTCTGGCTCTTGTGGCACCTCTTCATCTACTTCTTGTTCTTGTTCTTGCGATTGAGTGTCAGGTTTGGGCTCAGGTTTCTTAGGTGCCGGTGCTTTAGGCTTAGGTTGTTGTTTAGGAGGCTCTGGCCGTTGTTCTTCTGGTTCCTCATCTTCTGGCAACTGATCCTCCGGTTCCTCCGACTGTTGAGCGTCTGGTTTGGGTTGAGGTCTGGGAATCTTAGGCTTTTCCAGCTCTAACTTGGGCTCATCGATGGACACCTGTGGCTGTTCCTCGAGTTCTTGGGGCTGTTCCTCCTGTTCTTCTGGTGCTTGTGGTATAGGTTTGGGTTTCTGTTGGACTGGTGGCAGTCGGGGTCGGGTCTGTGCGATCACACTATCCTTAGGTCTGGTTTTACTTATGGGTCGTCGAGGAACGGGTGCTTTGGATTGTTGCTGAGGTTGCTGTTCATCCCTCGGCGGTGGCGATTGAGGTCTGGGTTTAGTTTTTCCTAAAATGTGTTAATAATTAGTAGATTTAGTCGTATTAGACATAACGTGTTAAACGAAGAAAATAAGTTACATATAAATCAGTATAAACTATTAGCTCCGGTAGTAAACGTTATTAAATTATAGATACTTCCCTTCATAAGTACTAAATTTTTATGGAAACTTGTGTTCACAATCAATATTAATTCAATTGATTCTTATTGTTTAGGGTATTAATTATATTAATGCTAAATGTTAACATAAAATTCAAATGTTATCTTGCATAAGGTTTATTTATAAACCAGTTATCGTATTAATAAATTATTATTATAGTTACTCAAATATAAAATGATTCTGTGAATACTTATAATAATCTGTGTAATTAAATCCATTTATTAATTAATGATATCAATAGTTAGCTATAATAATAGCGTTACATATAAACTATTCAATAATACAATTGTCAACACTTTTCTACCTCATGCTATTAATTCTATGAGTAAAACATTTGATTTAAATGTAATAAAATATTATTAAAAAGTATAAAATAATGTATAATTAAAATTTTGATAACAAAAAACTAATGAATGTGTCAAATGAGTGATTATCATAGCACTGGTATATGTTTTACTAGCATTTAGTAATCATAGGACTGTTGCTGTTTCTGTGCGAAATCGACCGGTTCTTCATCCCTGGTCTGAACGATGGGTCTCTGAGGCTCTGGTGGCGGAAGAACCGGTGGTAATGGCCGGAAAGGACGGACAGGACGTACGGGAGATGTCTTACCAATTTGTGGTTGTGGTGCATATGGTCTTTGTTGGGGAACTGAAGGCGGCGGCGGTCTCTTCACCTGTGGTTGTGGTTGATATGGACGCTGTTGGGGCTGAGGCTGGGGTTGAGGTCTGGGCTGAGGCTGAGGCTGATACGGACGCTGTTGAGGTTGGTATGGGCGCTGTTGTGGAGGATTGTAGGGTCTCTGTTGAGGGGTTCCTTTGATAGGAGGGGGCGGTCTTTGAGGGAAACGGGACTGAGCTATAGATGTGGGTCGCTGTTGGCGGTCAGACTGTTGGGGTGGTATGTATTCGGTGTCATCAGGTCTCTGATAAGACGGCGAGGGCTGTCGTGGCGGCTGAGGTCTCGGTGCCGGTCGGGGCTGTGCAGGTCTTGGCTGTTGTTGAGCTTTAGCCGGTGGGGCACCTCCTGGTCCGGGTTCAGCACCGGCTTTGCCTTAAGAATTAAAATATAAAAAATATAATATAATACATGTTTTGAACACTTTGTTGTGAATTCTTTACCTAATTCTTCATTAATTGAGTAGAAGTTAGGAGTTGTGGAGCAGTCGACGGAATGCCAATAATCGCAGCCAAGGATGGCCTGATTGAAGACAGTGCCGACACCGCACAGGAAACTCTCTTTCCTGCCCTGAAAGCACACGTGATAGGCCTGGCATTGGGTCTCCATATCGGCGTACATTCCCGGCTCATAAGGAACACCACTACACGTGAAACTGGTTTTCGGTATTACGGTATACCCGGGAAAGTCAACGCCAGGCGTTCCCATTACACCGCCATATATAGGAGGCTCGGGGTTGGCCTCGCCATCAGCGCTGTTCACCTGCCCCTCGTCTTCCTGGGGCTGCGGACGAGATGGTGGGCGCGGACGTGAGGGTCGAGTCCTCTGGGGTGCGCCCACCTGTGACTGAGGGGGCGGTCGATATCCGGTACCGATTTGTTGCTGCGGTTGATATCCTTTGACGCCCTGACGTCTTACCTAACAATTAGTCGATATGTTATCAAATATATTCATTTGTTTTCAATATATAATATTTGATTTATTAGAAAATACTCACAAATCTAAGTTATTACATTTTATACATTAAACTGAATTACAAGAAATAAAATACTTCAAACAGTTTTTCTAATAATTTGATAGTTTTAATCAGTATTTAACTATGCTAACATTGTCAAGGAAACCTTAATAAAGTTTGAAACATTTAGTATATCCTATTATATAAAATTATGATTTAGAAGCTATTTATAATTAAGGTGTAAAATTTGTGTAAAATTGTTCATTATTTTCTATAATTAACAAAACATTGTCTGACCCTTTATTATTAAACATTTAATCATCACATCATTGAAATACATAACAATCAAAACTTGTAATACATTTTTTGGATATAAAAGCCTTCAATTGATTGATACTAACTTATTGTATAAGAATACTAATATAGAATATCTTATTATAGATAGCTATTTATATTTTTTTTGTTTAACAATTAATGGCAAAAGGTAAATAATAAATGATAGATATAAAAAATATCTCATCACTCAATGCTGACCATTAAAATGTCTGTGTTTAACAAAAGGTATGTACAAAAATGGACTTTTGCTTTGCTTGTTTTGTTTTGATATTTCTATTTATATCTAACAATGAGATCTTTAGTTTAAAATAACCTTTAGTTATATTATACTTTTAATATAGCATTACATTTATGGTAGAATTCTGTATTGGTGAATTATTTGATGAATAGAAATAACATTGAATTTTGAAACAGTGAAATGATAGTTTGGAAATATATTAGAAATGTATTTTAAATTAAAATCTGCTTCAAAATTTGCAAATGTCTATCAATTTTCAATTTAGTCATTCATATATTTCACAACTTTTAAATGTAAATTACTTTTGAATACTAAACATAAAATTAATTTTAAATATAAAAATTAACTAATGCCGATTTTCCAAACAAATTGATTCATTATACTAACAGGAAATTATATATGAATATTATGCTTTAATCATTTTATTACTTTATATACTTCTTATAATTTATTATAAATTAATGAAAAGCATAATAAAATTTAATCAACAATTTAACCAAATATTTCAATTATAAATTCAAATATTGTATTAAATATATTTATACTATAAACATTCATAGTCTGAGTTAATAGATAAGCGAGAGAGAGAGAGAGAGAGAGAGAGAGAATCACGAATTCTCGGACACTTCCGTAACGTAAGAATTTTAAATATGTTAAAAATTTTAATTCAACAAAATAAAAATTAAATTTCACTTTTAAGCATGATAAGTTTTAATTGAAATGTTATAACAAACAACAAAAACAAATGCATAAATTCATAAAATACTTACTCGAAAGTTCTGACAGTCGACAGCATTTAAGACAATAGTTGCGAGAATTATGTATTTAATAAACATTATTATTATTACAAGATTTTTGTGATAACTATTTCAATGAACAAATTCTGCGGCAATACATTTAACAAAACGAAAAAATTTCAAAACTTCATAAAAATGCTCATCAAATAAAATAAAAAACTTTGTGTCTGTGGTTACAGCGAAATTTGTGTTATTCTTAAAGTTATATTATTTTTCTTTCCTTATTATTATTGTTTGAAACACAAAAAGAGTGCAAAACTATTATCCAAACAACAAAATTTTTACTGAAGAATAAGAAACGAAAACAAATTTAGAAAAAATAAAAGAAAATAAAACTCCAAAATAAAAGTTAATTTGAAATGAAAACAATTTTGAAGTAATAGTCGAGAGACGAGAGAACAATAACTAATACTAGTAATACAAATATTAATATAATTTTGCTTTCACTCTATTTTGAGTGAAGATCTATACAACTATAGCCCAAATCATTAGTGCGTCGATTGCTTTATAAAAATTTTAAGGTGAAGGAAGTCCTCTTTATTGGAGAGGGTATGTGGGGGAGGGGATGGGTAGCTGTGGATGAACCTCCAACTCTCAAAAAGTGTGTGTATTTTTTCTATTAAAATTCAATAGAAAAACTCATAAATTTTAAACATTTGAAAACATTACGACTCGATAGCCTATTATATTATTATATTGATTCAATGCTATCAATGCTATAAATAAGGGACGAAACACGACTACATGTGCTATCATACCAGTGTTATCACGACTTTCAGACACATAGAGAATAACACCTTTATTAGGGTATAGAATATGGGCTGGTCTTAGGCTCTCACCAATTGATATTTTGGGGAAAGCCATACAAACGATTACATCATTGTATTTGTGATATACAGTCACATTTAAAGTGTTGCTATTTTTGTATTGTTTTCACTCTTTATTTCAATTCTTACTATTTTTTAAGATTCATTTTTGCTTACAATTAGTGGTTCTTAGAAATAACTATTCAATTCTGGATTCTCCCACTTATTGAGAGAGAGAGAGAGAGAGAGAGAGAGAGGCTATAATATATGGCTTTTATGATAATGATGAGTGTATATTGAGGGTCACCAATGAAGTCAAGGATGAAGACAATAACCAACACTTTAATCACCACAACTCGCATGAGATAATACCGTAGATTATCTGTATATGTCGTGATGTTGTACTCAATAATCAACGGTTGCGTGAATTGTATGCAAAATGTTTTTGATTATGAAAGCCATTTGATTACTGGCTGTACTTATCGTTAATTCAATTATATAGTGAACAACAATTACATGAAATTGTTAAATGCATTTTGAAAATTCTTCAATTAAAATAACTTATAATACCAATTCTTTAACCATTTTATTGATATATAACTGCATAAATACATTTTCATAGATTTAGCAAGTTTAAAATATACTGAACTATAGAAAGAATGAATTATCTAAAAATTAATAATGTTAATATTAATAACTATTTGATCACTATTGATATATCCACTTATGAATTATATTTTATATTTATTACATTAAACCGAGAGTTTTCTGTATTTACGATAATTAGTCTATAAAATAAAAACATTAATTATATTTTTATGCGCAATTGTTTATTATAATTGGTTTACGAAATCAATGGCTTATTAATAGTGGATAACAAATAAAAAAATATTATTTATTGCGAAAACAAATTTCTTAAAAAAAACTTGTTTTGAAAATTTATTTTATGTTTTAATAATTCGCTTCTTTTAATGACTCTTCATATTATAAATTATTGATATTTCTATTAAAATAAATTGTTTTATTTTGTAAATTTTTTAAAAGAGAAATCATTATTAAAAATACAATTTCCTAATTCAATTGAATGTATAATAGAGAGACAGAAGAGAATAAAGTTTGAAAAGACTAGAAAATTATTACCAAATTACTTACTGAATATATTTTCAATTAGTATATGAGATATGGAGAGAGAGAGAGAGAGACCTCTTAATCTTTTTTAAACTTTAATTACATAAATTCATAATTATTTGCATTTTTAATCTAAATGATTATAAAACACAAAATTTTCCCCATAAAAATGATGACCATTTCATGATAGATACCGTACAATATGTGATGACTGCACACATAAATTCAATTTAATCTTATTATTTAATGTTTACCGAAAAAACATAATAACGTCATTACAAATGAAAGAGAAAACTATTCAATCATTTTATCCATTCATTCGTATAATTCATACGGTTTTCCTCAAAAATATATATTTTTTGTTATTTCTTATCCGATGCTTTAGAAATAAATTGAAAAAATAATCAATTATTTTCTATTTTCTTTATTGGTATTCAAGGTATTTTTATTTGTATTTAAATTTCTCTCTCTCTCTCTCACTCACTCACTCACTCACTCTCATTCACTCTCAATATTAATAAACAAATATTCTTTTGTATTAACAAATTCTAGATTAAAGTAATGAAAATAAATATTTTCACTTAACATTTAATAAGTTTTAGAAAAAACAATTTACAACTTAATAAAATTATAATTATCATTTAATACACTTCATATTAAAATTAATTATTGTATATAAATTACAATTTAACAGATATATTATATTTCTGAAAATTTATATAAATTTTCAAATAAATTTATATAATAAATATACATAACAACCACTATTTCTGTGAAATCCTAATAAATTGTGTAAATTATTATCAGTTTTAAGAAAAATTGTACTGTCTTATCATTTAATATTATAAATTAATCATAAATAACTTATTTATGTTATCCCTACAATAAATTTAAATATTTTGTACATAAAATTTAAATTGGAAAATCTAATATATTTGAATAGTAGGGAGTTAGACCGCGTAAATTAGAAACATATCTTAAGCCTATATACAGAATTTGAATTTTATTATTATTTTTAATTATATTTATAAATACTTTAAAAGAAATTCTTAATTATTTGTATAACTTACTATAAGTATATTCAAAAAACAAAACATGTTTGTTATTAGACAGCAGTAGGTGTTTATGATTCTCCATGTATTTTATAGCATTATGAATATATTAGCAACAATTAATTATATAGCTTTAGTAATAATTTATTTTTATTATTTCTGGCTAATAAAATGCAATAACAATTATAGTACAATGGGATTTATCATATTATAAATATTGTATAATGTTATATTTAGGCTTATTTCGAAACACTCTTATGTAATGAATAAAAATAGAAAATTATGCATACATTTATTGAAATTATAGTTATATAATTTTAATTAATTTTAGTAAGTCTCTTATTATATTAACAGACACATCTTTGCCAATTATAAAACGATTATTTTAATAAAGTGTTAGTTATTGATACTACTAATAAATGCTAAATTTTATAGCAAGTATTAAAAATAATAAACTTTTTCTTAAAAATACAATTAAATGATAAGTTAATGTTATTGATTAATTTGTTTGTACCTTCACATAAATTTCATATCAACACTGAGAATAATAAATATTTTGACATAAAAGTATATTCAATATCATTTCACTATTAATTTCACAAAATTAGTATAATTTATAATTAAAAACAAACAAATTAATAATTTAAAATAAACATTAACTGAAGTTTCTCTTTATTTAGTAATAAAATGTTTTTGTGATCTTATCATATAAATAGCCTTTAATTATATCTTTTAAATTATAATTAACAATTTGATTTAACTTAAATCACATGTAAAATAAATGACTTTTTCTAATAGTATACAAATATTGTCAAAACACACCAAAAATGGACCGAAAATATACTAATTCTTTGCCTTGAAATGTATTTTACTTCATTTCATTTTTCATATGAAATTTTTTTAACTAGTTTTTATGGTTTACAAACTATTTTACATACTGTAGTTCACAAATCAGTTTTAGTGTTATAATTGGATTTAACATTTGAATTACGATTTATTTTGACTAATAGTCGATGTGTTTAATAACAGAGAAATGTTGTGCCCAATTGTAAAATAATCTGTTTTTTGAATGACTATACAATCAATTGATTTGAATCTTAAACTCACGAATAATCGTTAAATTTCTCAATAGAAAGGTATAAATTGTGTTTATATTATTGTTAAGCAAAACATTTTTATTAATTTTATTTTTTCGTTGAATAAATGAATCAAAAGTAAAATGTTTTGAGTGAAAACTGAAAAATTTAACGATAAGTGCTTATATGAAAACATAACAAAAATTGCTAATCAATTGCATTGATTGTTAACCACCTCTGCATTGACTGCCCTATCTATCCGTAAATGTATGACTGATATGGTATGGTATGACTTATCTGATTGAAGTCTATATGCAATATCTGTAGTCAGACATACATAGTATAGCACAGGTGTGTGTGGTGTATGTGCTGTTTGTTTGGGTGGCTTTGCATACCTGAATGCCTGTAATGGCCCACTTGAGAGAGAGAGAGAGAGAGAGAGAGAGAGAGAGAGAGAGAGA